AAATGAATTAATGATTCTATCATTCATCATTTTTTTCCAAGAATTCTTCATGTACATGCACATCTGAGCAAGATTGTTTTGTCTTTCATCCAGAATGATCGTAGCAAAATCATCTTCTTTTATTTATTATTCATACAATCAGTTTATAGGACACAAATACATTTTGAAATCAAATTTTGTGATAAAGTAAGGTGTTGTTGCTGGAAGCTGCAGGAGTGAAATTGGCATCTCAGAGGGAAAAAAAGTACTTCATGGAGTGTTGGAGCCTTGATCAGTGGTGATCGAATGATTTTCGGAAGTTAGCCCTGAAAAGGACTGTTTGAACAACAAAAACCTAATCCGTCAACTTTGAAAATGGGCTTGAGTGGATTTTTTGACATATAAACAGATCAATTTTGGATGAATCAGGAAACATCTTCCTGCTCCCTGAAAATTTCACTTGACTCAAATTTGGTCAAGATGTGACACAGTCTTAATCAAATGAAAAATGGGATGACTTGGACTCCCACGGGGTCAAGAGTGACACAAGGTCGTTTTTAAATATTAAAATAAAGCCGATTATTTCCGCATAGGGTCACTGGTCAAAGATTGGTCATAAATGTCCAAGCTGGTCAAGGCTTAATCAATTTTTTTGGTCATAACATGTCCAAGCTGGTCAAATGCTTAGTCAAAAATTTGTTGGTCTTGGCTTGTCTTAGCAGGTCTGATATGGTCCAAATTAGACTTTGCCTGTCGCTTTTTTTAAGGTCTTTGAAAGAAATTTTTGGTATTTACTTGACTAAACGATTTCAAAATGTGACACAAGTTTTTTTTCAAATGGAAAACCCAAGATTTAAACAAAAAGGGTCACTGGTCAAAGATTGGTCATAACATGTCCAAGCTGGTCTGTCTAGAATCAAGTTCTGGTCGAAGTTGGTCTTTTATTGTCTTAGCAGGTCCTGATATGGTCCAAACTAGACTTTGCAATGGTTCAAAAACAATGAAGGCCGGGCTGCTCATCAAAATTCTAAAATATTTCTTTTCTCAGGCATCTAGATATGACGGTTCATACAAGAGAAGCGGTGACGCTAAACAAGTAAATGAATATAATTAATTTCGGGTATTATTAATTACAGTCAAAAAGTGTGTTCGGTGTTTGTTGACTGTATTTAAATTAATTTCAGTTTGAAATTAAAAGGTCTTTTATTTTTGTTTAGTGGCGAAAATTAACTTTTGTGTGTTTCTGTCAGTTTGAAAGGATGTTGTTGCTATTTTTAGCACACAAGGGTCGTGACCTTTCTCTACCGGCAGGCATATCTGGGGTTGTTTAAGAAAAGGTGGGAGTGGTGTTTGGGCACACTGTGACAGTGTCTTCTTCACCAAAAATTATTCTATGCCAACTTCTTGCTTTTGTAAGTATTTAAATTCAAGCTGAACAAAGAACATAGGAAAATACTTATAAATAAATTGGACTTGCGCTTTCATACATGTAATTGAATTTTCCATTGCTACGAGTCAAAACCAATTATGAACTCTATAATTTTTCTCTTACTTTAAAAAAATAGATTAAAATGTAGTTGGCCAATCGGAACTCAGTACAAAAGAAATCTTATTTTTCAAGCAAGAATCAAAAATGACTCTGAACTATTATTTTTTTCTTTTACTTTTCAAAAAATACCCAATATAGATTCATTTACTCTAATTTTGACCAATCAGAAATCATTAAAATAACCAAAGATATATTTCAGCCAATCATAATTTTTATTATTTTTGCTGCATGAATTTGGCTCTAAATTTCTGTCAAGCAATATAAGAATAGAGTTCCAAATCATCAAAGTCAATCAGTTCTTGTAAATATTTCAAACACTGGTTCATTCAATAAACAGAAAGAATAAACAAGTTTTCATTGCCATTAAAACTGCTTTTTTCTTGTCTACCATTCTACATATGTTAAAATTCTTGTGTTTGTTGATATTTTTCAAAAAGGATAGAATTTATATTTACAAAAAAAAAATTATAATTTTAAAAATAGTATTAACTATGGTCAAATAGTTAACCCACAAACTGGGGTAAGGCATTGTGAAGGTATAGAAATGCATTTTTATAGTGAAAATAAATCTTGCTACAACCTAGGCTTTGGTGGCAGACTTCAACAAATGGATGTCCTGGTATATTTGCTATAGGGGTTCAGTGGATGATCCAACTTGTGTGGACAACAGTGAGGCACACAGCCTAGGTGTAGGAATGGCAGATTTCTCAAATGCTGCAAAGATTTGAGTTGGGATTAGCTAGGATTCTTTTTTGAAACCAATAATATGGCTAGTTCTCTTGAGAGATAGCTGACTGCTGCCTACCCCCATCACTAGGAAACTGTTGTGGTAAACCCTCCTAGAGTAGAATGAACTCTTCCTCCTCTCATAAATACAAACTGCGAGAGTTGGTTGAGCAGCGGGTTTTAGGCAGTAGTAGATGCAGTGCTAATCTACTGTTCGGATGTACACTGCTAGCTACTTATTACTAACACTATTGTTTTGTATATATCTTCATTATACTGGTTCAACCTACCTTTGTCTTCCATGTCTTTCTTTCTGGCCCTTAAACAGGCCACAACAGAAACCCATAGCAGTATAATCAAAGCAAGAAAGCATTTTTGCCTATATTCCAAAATACTGACTTTTCACATTCTGGGCTTGGTATATTTCCTTCACCTAGGAGTGTACTTTTTTTTTTTTAATTATCCTATTAAGTTAAGAATCGAGTTAAGAATAAATATGGAATATGCTAACATTTTTTTTAATCATTTCACCTGAAGCAAGGCAAAAAAAGCTACTTAGAAACAAGGAGTTGGTGAGTTTAGAGAATATGAGAAAAATAATATTAAAGAGAGAGAACCATAAAAGAACAAGAATTAAGAAAACCAAAGATAACAATTGATATTGCGTTTAAAGTTTGGAAGATCAAAGAAAGCAAGAAGCCAGAAGAGAGTTCCACAAGCAAGAAGTGCAAGAGAAGAAATTGTTAGCATAGAACTTATGGTTACATCTAGTCATTTCAACTGTAAAATGATGAGGCCTTGCTGTCAATCTAGCACTGTGCTTAAATTCATAAAGTCTAGGTACCACAGAGGAAAGTTCATCTGAACAATTATCATAAAAATATTTATAGAAAAGTCACAGGGAAGCTATATTGCAGTGGTGGGAAAGTGACTGAAGCCATGCTGCCAAGTCAGCACCAATAACATTGCAGATTCTTCTTTGGATTTTATCAAGAATCACTAAATATATAGCAGGTGCGCCAGACCATATGTGGCAGCAATATTTAAACCAAAATATATAAAGCATAACTGACTCCAGCTGTAGATGGTGGTTGGTTGGATGGTTGGGTTTTATGGCATATCAACCACTGTAGGTCATTTAATGCCAAGTTTAGTTTATATATATATATATTAAATATATAGGACTTGTAAACGTCTATAAGCTATATAAGCTAGAGCTTATTTGTTTGCACACTGCAAAATAATTCCAGGTATTACTGCCTAGGACAAGGATTTCCATTTAGTATAGACAATTTGTTTGCACAATGTTAAAAGGTAGCATATATTAATTACACATCAGACTACATCCTTGATAAAAGACCAATTCTTTTCATGATGTTTATTATATGACTTGAATCAATTTTTGTAAATAGTTCCTTTGTACTCTTAATGTTGTAGAACTTTCTTCGAATGTGTAAGGTTTGTGCATTCTATCAGTATATGTTTTACTGTGTATTGGTTTCCACAGGGACATTTAGGAGGAGACTCCCCTTCTAGTATAAAGGAGTGGGTCAGTCTAGCGTGTCCAATGTGTAGCCAAGTATTTAGATGGTGGAGGAATGGACTGATGTTAATATTTGATCCAAGGTTTAAAAAAGCGTAAGGCTCATATGTACTAAAGCAGAATAATGGTTATAAACTATAACTGGCTTCAGCTTAGAATAGTGAAGGAATAAACACACACTATGTTTTTGATCCAAGTTTTAAACAAAGTCATAATTTTCATATATACTAAACAAGCAGAATGTAGATTTTTGGTTATAAGTATTACTAACTCTCTCTCTCTAAATAAATAAGGATGAGGTAGATATTATACTGTAATCCTAACTAAAAAAACAAAAGGTTGTACATACTCAAACATGATGTACCTGATGTACATGATGCAACATTGTTCAAATTGTGTAACAGCAAAATTGTTCAATTGTTACTTTAAGCTTTGAACCACTGTATCTTAGAAATGGTTAAAAGATACTAGAATTTGTATCTTTTTATAACACTATTGGACTCTACTTTGAACAATAAGAATGTATTTAGCTTTAAGTTGAAATAAGTGTCCTCCTGATCCAGTGTCCTCCTGATCCAGTGTCCTCCTGATCCAGTGTCATCCTGATCCAGTTTTCCTCTCTACTGTTCCCTCTTTTTTAAACTTATTCAGCATTCTCCTAATGGTTTTTCAATGAACTTTACATATGGAAACCAGGGTATGAATGTTGGTACCATTACTGAAGGCCTGAATGATCTTTTTTCTCTCACCATTGCTCAGTTGGGAAGACATAGTGGAGCTGACACAAAATGATTTTAACCTGTTCTCTTTCTATGAATAACTCAAAGGGTTTTTCAGTGATTCTTATGACAAATGGTGTCAAAATGGTTAAACGTCTTATCTAAAAACCTGGTAAAAAGAAACTCAATTAGTTTAGTGTTTTTTTTTAGATATTAAACATTTTGTGGGATGGGCAATTATCTCGTTCTGTTACACAATTTGAACACTTTTGTTGTTACACCTGGTATATTAGTATAGATAATAATTCCTCATCTAACAAAATTCAAACGAAATCTATTTTTTTTTTAAACATGCCATTTCCCTAAAATAGGTCGATAAAATTACATGTGGTCACAAATAAATGATCCTCTTATACAGAGCCTAAATTTGAAGAGTTTCTTTATTTTCTCTGTTTTCATTATTTCATAAATAAACCTTACTTACCGTTACTTCCTTATCAGTTAGAACATGAGCATCTTTATTCGTTCCAGGCATTCTGTTTGGAAACAGCCTTTTGATAGAAAATGCAAATGATTAGTATCTAAAGAAAAAAAAAACAAAAGCAGAGAAAGAATTGGGTGCATTTACACACAAAAACAAAAAGATTAAATCTTTTTTTTTTAACCCTGCATTAATCATATGAGTTGTTTTGTTACCCCCAAAATTTTTAAAAATACTCATAACTCTCTATAAAGTTTCTCCGGTCCGACACAACTCTTATATCCATATAAGAGAAATGAAAATCTAAAACAAAAATTAAATAAATTTATATCCAGGTTACACTGTATAGAATAAGACATCAGAAGTGTTGAAACAAAATGGCTATTTTTGTGGTGATTTTATAAAATATTTATGTTATAATTTTCAAATAAATAATTATATATATGTATTATATATACAACTCTTTCAGTCTTGTAATTATGAGTTAATGTAATAACTTTCTATCTTGTGGCTATTTTAGATGACTAATTATTTTTTATGTTATTGTATTGTTATGTTTCACATTCAATTTACAAAATATGTTTATGCAATAAATTTATAATTTTCATTTCAATGAATAATTATATTTTCAATTCAAGTTTTGGTTTAATGTATATTGAGACAGAGACTGCATGTTATGTTAATTTTTAGACAATATTTGAAATAATTTTCAGAAGTCCAAGGTGTCTAAAGTAGGATTAAATGCCATGTCCATTCCTGTATACATACTGGAAGCGCCATAAAATCATAATTTCTCTTTGAAATTCTAACTAATCCTGTATGTACAATATTTGCGGGTCAATGGAGGGAATAATAAAAATTATATCTTCTTCTCTGTGTCATGTCCTTTCAGGATGGGAGTGATCATGGCTCTCCACAATTTTCCCTCCTTTTTATTAAATTTTGTATTTTTTTGCTATCTCTCTTAAACCCTGTTCTGTCAACTATTTACATGTGAGGTTATGTGTTGTTTTTCTCTGTCCCTCTTGCCTTCGCAATGTCCTGTGAGTACTTGATTTTCCAAGTCTTCTTTTCTCGTTATGTGCTCTAGAAATTTCAACTGACTCTTTCTGATATTAAGTATAAGTGCCCTTTTTATTTCTATTTGCTTTAAAATATTGTTATTGCTCACATGTTCAGTCTATGGCATTCTCAGCATCCTTCTGTAGAGCCACGTCTCTGTTGCTTTAAATCTTTTCTTCTTTATCTGTGAGGAGATTGTCCAGCATTCACTGATTTATAGAAGTTTTTAATTTTAAAGAATTAAAAGGATTAATTCATAAAGAAACATATGTTCAACCGAGGTTGGAAATGGCAAGACACCATGGATAATGGTATAGTTTGGTTTGGTTTGTTTTGTCTTACAGTATATCAACACCTCAATGAATTAATGCCAGGAAAAATTTTAGGATAGATTTAGATGAATAGAATATGTATTCTTTGTAAGAAATAGGTTTGTAGATCAGCTTTCATTGACATATTTCTGTAAAGAGGGTTTTTGTTGAGAGTCAAATCTATTGCTGGTAATAATTTTTTTTTCCCAAAATGTATTGCTGGTACTGCTCTCTCTTAATAACTAATTCCCCATGCATATCAGAAACCTCTGTTTTTACTCTAATTTGGGATATTCCATTAGCTCAAAGTTGGGGTGGGGTCTTAGGATTCAGTCAGTCAGTTAAGTGCCATGTGTGATACATGCTTAGGCCATCATGTATCTTTCAAAACATGACTGACTAGGCAGATTTTTTCTTGCAGTAGGTTGCCATTTCTTTCTGCAGTAGACCAGTTGCCATCCAAGGCTACAGAACCCGCTCTGTCCTGCTATTTACCAATAGCTGAGAGAGAAGAAGAGAAATCCTACCTTTCCCAAGGGTATTAGCATGTAAGTGAATGTAATGGATTTGACTGGAATTCAAACTCAGCTTAGAATTACATATTAATTGTTAGAAGTTAGTCCTCCTAACTGACCCTGGCAAGTTACATACTTGAACTGCAACTAAGGTTCACTTAGTATAGTTACAGTATAAATCTAAGGTTCACTTAGTATAGTTACAGTATAAATCTAAGGTTCACTTAGTATAGTTACAGTATAAATCTAAGGTTCACTTAGTATAGTTACAGTATAAATCTAAGGTTCACTTAGTATAGTTACAGTATAAATCATAAGTTGACACTGTGGGTATTGAAGTAGCACAAATGAACCTGAGCAGATGAGCATGTGTGGAAAAAAGCTGTCATGCTGAAAATAGGAAATCACACTGATTTACAGTGTGCAGTCAAGTTGAAATATTTCTGATGAAATAATTTCATACATTTATTATTAATTTTAATTAGAAAACAAATTGTATTATCTTTAATTTAAAAAAATTATATAAGTGTGCAAAAAGCTTAGAATAGTTTCCCAATAATTTATATAAATAAAAGTTTTTTTTTTTACTTACCATTGTATGTAAGTAGCAATATTTTGCAATTTAGTATAGTTTCCTGGCCATTTGATCAAAATTTCTTCAATGTATTCTTCTGAATGTTCAAAATAAAATGAAATTAAAATTGTTTACTGTGATTTGAAAGTAAAAGTTTTTAACTGGGGTAAAGGATGGCTTGTTAATTTTGACACCTCCAAAACAAAACTTCCCTCTATTAATAATATGAGGGACTTCTTCTCCTTGATATTACCATGGCTGATGCTAACCTCGAGGAGAGTAAGCCATTGTGCCTTCTCAGGCTATCATTCTTGGCTAACATGAAGTGGAAAGACTATAATGAATTCATTTCTAGGTTTGCTGCTAAGAAAGTTGTTTCACTGTGTCATGCTAGACATTTTTTCTCTCCTGAATTTATCTTACATATTTATTAGTCTACCATTTGTCTTTGCCTCAAATATTGTGGCTAGATATGGTCTGGTGCTCCTGCTTTATATTTAGAGATTCTTGATAAAATCCAAAGAAAAATCAGCAAATATTATTAGTCTTGATCTAGTGTCTTACCTTCAGTCACTTTCCCATTGCCATAGAGTTGCTTCTGTGTGCATTGTCTATAAATCCTTACAGGGTAATTGTTTGGATAAGCTCTTTGCTATGGTTTTTTTGAAGTCTCATCCCTGACATGATTTGGCCTGTAGAGTTGCTACTAGTTTGCAAGTAGCTGCAACCTTTTGGACAACACATACAAAGAACTTTAATTTTAAATTAAAAACTGTTAAGTTAATTTGATCTATTTTTTCTTTATTTGTTTATTTGTTTTTGTTTGAATTTAATTTTTGGATTTTTCTTTTTCAGTCTTTTTCTTTTCAGTCTTTTTTCAGTTTTTTCTTTTCAGTCTTTTTTCAGTTTTTTCTTTTCAGTCTTTTCCTTTTCAGTTTTTTCTTTTTAATCTTTTTTTCAGTTTTTTCTTTTCAGTCTTTTCCTTTTCAGTTTTTTTCTTTTTAATCTTTTTTTCAGTCTTTTTCTTTTCATTTTTTTTAGTTTTTTTTCAGTCTTTTTCTTTTCAGTCATTTTTTCAGTCCTTTTCTTTTCAGTTTTCCTGTCGGCTTTGGCCACCATTTTTATTTCTATTTTTCTAGTTTGATGTAAAGTCTTACCAGACTCCTGTTTTTGTTTTATTCCATTTCTGATTAATTTATAATTTACTTTTATTTTCTATCTCGTTTATTTGAAAGAACTTACAGAACTTTTTGAACAGAAATCTGTTCTTGTTAATTTGCATTGAGATTTTGAATTGTTAATCTTTTTGTCAGCCATTTAATCTTTTCAGTTTTCCCTCTTTGGTTTGTGACTGTGACAATAGTCTGTTTCATGCTTAAATGCAGTCTTCAGGCCATGAAGTTTAAGCATGAAAGACACCAGTGGGTGTTGACATCAATATCCACTTTTATATTCACATATGCTTTATCCCTTATATTGAGCACTTTAACTCATAAATATAGCATACTTTAAAACTATATTTTTATCATATATCATCTTTTTCTCTACCAAAGCGCTGATGGCTTAGGGGTAGAAACTCTGACTGGTACTAAATCAGTCGGGTTTCGATCCTGGCTTGAAGATTCAGTTGTCTAGTTGCATTGATGAGCTGTGATACAGCAAAACAGGCTTGTATACAAATGACATTACATATATTGTCATCCACAGACAGACTGTTTCGCTGTATCACAGCTCATCAGTGTGGCTAGATGTCCGGTTGCCTCTAGCTAGGATCGAAACCCGACTGAATTGGTGTCAATCAAGGATTCTACCACTAAATCATTGGCACACAGCAGGGATGAAGGTAAATTTAAGTGTATTTATTTTGAAATAAACACACAGTGACTGAGAGAACTTGATTTGATTTACCGAAGAGTCTTGCCTTATTAGCCATAATAGTCACTGTTTACAAATCCACACTTCCTCCCAAGAGAGCTCAACTGAAATAAATTTTTCAGGAGCATATATATTGTCATCCACAAACAGATTGTTTTGCTGTATCACAGCTCATCAGTGTGGCTAGACATCCGGTTTCCTATATATATAGTAGGTAAAGGAGATGTTTTAAAACAATACCAACATTATCTTTTGATGTCTGTCAAACAAGTGAGTTAAGAAAGATAAACATTGTAACAAATAAAAATGGCAGTTAACAAGTCTGATTGTTAGAAAAAGAAATTTACATTTCAAAATCACGATTTCCAGTTCAAGTAGGCTTTTCTGTTTTTCCATCCTTTTTTTCTGTTTTCACGGAAAATAAGTTGTGTGTGTATATATATATATATATATATATATATATATATATATAGTGGTACTCGTTTGTAAAAACCTTAGCTATTTCGGCTTGTGATTGGACAAACCAATGCCCAAGGAAAAATGAGGAATAAAAAAAAGAAAGAACTAAGAACATGAAATTGAGGCGAAAACAACCATCCAGAATCCAAGCTCAGAGTCCAAAGAAAAAAACCCTCCAAAACGAGTAACCTACCTAGGTTTCACCTACATGGATCGTCAGGATATACTGGCCTGTATACCCTGATGATCTGACGATTTCAGAAATGAGGGTGATTGAACTTTGTGGAAGTATCATGATATATCCTAGCAGTAAAAGTCTGGTGGAACTAAAGAATAGAACAACTTCCTACCTTCAGAGCATGAAGCAATGTTTGTTTCCTTACTATCTCTCCCAGTTCATGCCCTCCCATCAACTTACTCATCAGGTATGTTTATGTTCATCCAAAACAAGGCTCAAGGACCACTCAAGGTAGAGGGTTACTGTATGGAGTTGTATTAGCGTAAGAAAGAGTAAGATAACAGTAAAGACAAATAATTCTAGACTTGAAGAGGTTAAGATTTTAAGAGTATAGGTGTATTAGGACATTAGAAGTATAGTGTTGAAGTAGACTTTAGAAGGGACTGGAAGTCCAGTCCTAAACAGGAAAAAAGGGATGAATTTCTACTCCTGTTCAAAAGACAGGGGAGGGGATTCAATGTGTTGTTCCTCCCACTATTGTCTTCCATTTTAACTATCTCTTTCCCTTAAAGCAGCCTCATTGCTCCTTTGTTCCGTCCATAGTATTCTCAATAACCTTCTGTAGAAACACATTTCTGATGCCCCAAATTTCGTTGAGCATTCACTGACATATAGGATGATTGATATTACATAACAGTTGAGTACTGTCATCTTTGTTGCCAAAGATATTTTTGGGAAAATAAAATAAAATTAATGACTTACCATTTGGTTTTGCTGGTATTTTGTTTTCATAAAATGCAACATTGGGAGTTGAAAACTGATCTTAAAAAAAAAGACGGTTGATTATAAAATTAGAAGACAAGCCTATGAAGGATAGCAGGAATGACTCAAACAATGAAGAAGATGAGAGACGAAGATTTCCATGAAAAAGAACAGACATAAACCTCAAGGAGAAAAGAGGTTGTAGAGGAAGTTCAAGAACAAGCAAAGGCGTTAAGCCTTTTTGGTCCGGGGAGGTGGTGTAGTGGATTGGTAAATAAGATTGTACCTATTGGCATATGTTAAGTAGAAGAGATACTAGCAAGAAGTTGACTAGTAATCATGTATCATAGAACAACACAATACAAAAGTGTTATTTATAATAATAATAATAATCTAGATTTTAATCTTTCAAGTACAACTGTAAGATTTTTTAAATATTCCCAAACTTTGTCTTTGAATTGGGAGTTAGTTTTATATCCTGAAAAATACAGTATACAAATGTAAAATGAGGTAACACATAAAATGAGTGTCATAATCTCAGAAGGGAGACAACTCTTAAACAGAATTTTTATGCATTTAAACTTCCATCATAAAAATAATTAATCTATTTAAAACGAAATAGTTTTTAGAGAAATAAAATTGACGATTTACTCTTCAGTTTCAATGGTATTTTGTTTTGATAAAATGCAACATTAGAAGTTTGAAGCCAACCTTTTAATGAAGGATGGTTGATTTTAAAATTTTAATCTTTTCACATGTTGAATGCCAACTACAAAATAATTTGTGGCTGGCAGTTTTTATTACAAATTATCTTTTGTGTTAACTTTGAATTAACTCGTGTTTGGCATTTTCTGATACATTTTCATCTGTTGGTACCAACAACGAGTTTATTCATAGTGATGCATCCTACACCAAAAGTATGTATGTATATATAGCTATATAGCTGGCCACTCGTATTCAAGGATATCCGTCAACTAGGGCAGCTAACCAATCCCTATTGCAGAAGCTTGCTCAGGCACATTTGTGTCTGTTCAACATCCATAGAGCCAACCTGTGGTTTATACTGCAACTATGCAGAGCAGACCTTAGTTACAGTTTCTGGGAAAGAGCATCTAGCATGATCATCAGTTTGAACAGGGTCAGCATGCTCAAGCCTTTGGCCATGATGACTTGTGACTTGGTGCTAGCACAGCTATTGACAGCACCCAAGGGTTTCATCTACCCAATTTCACTCACAAGGCTTGGATCATCCTATGGCATGGTTTTCAAGTGTCACCACTGGGATCGACCCCTCCGATCCGATAATATCAGGAAATCTCCTTCCTGACAAATGTTGAGATTTGAACCTGGGTCTCATGGTCAGAATGCGAACATTCTAACCATTCGGCCATATGCCCAATACACCAAAAGTACAAAGAATATATTTATATATATGTATATATATGATATACACAAACCATGTGTGAATATATTTAAATTAGCAAGCATAATTTAATTCATTTTAATGTGTTATTTATAATAATAATAATCTAGATTGTATAAGGCAATTAACATTTGTAATTAACTAATCAGTAGCATTCTGGTCTGTACAGACTGTATCACCAAAAGCCAGATTACTATATCTTGATGTTTCAAACTGTTTAGTATTGTGAACAATATATACTAATTTTTTAAAATATCAGATTAAATTTTTGTTCTTTCAAATAAATCTGTGCCTTTTTAAAAAATTTTCAAAAACTTCCTTTTCAAAACAAGAGTGAGTTTTATATTCCAAAAAATACAGTATACAAATGAAAAGTGGTTTAATATGTAAACAGATGACGTATCATTATCTCAGAAGACTTGAAAGCCTTCTGAGATAATGAGACTATACTTAATGGGAGGCAACTCTTAAGCTGAAAAATTAAATGAAATTAAAACAAAAAAAACACTAACCACATGCACTTGATACCATTCCAATTAAAGTAGAAATGATGCTCCCAGAATTTTGACGAAGACCTTGAATGAGAAATAATAATAATAATAATAATAATAATAATAATAATAATAATCTTTCTTATTGACATGGCAGTCTATGCAGATTGTAATGTATCTTTGAAGATCGAAAAGCTATCAAAATACAAGGATCTTGAAGCGGAAATCTAAAAATGTGGCACATGAGGACATGAATAATTCCAGTTGTCGTTGAAGTCCTCAGATCGATTGGAAAAGGTTCTGATAGACTCATTGAAGGAATGTCTGGTAGTCAATGCCTTAAAGAAATATAAGAAAATTGTATCCACAAGTATAGCTCACACATTACGAAGGGCTTTTTATGTAAAATATGTGTGATCTTTTTTTTTTTTTTACAAAAATAATTAGCATAAAATGTCTTGAAGCCATTTCTGGTTTGGATTCAGAAAGAAAAGTGTATACAACAGAAATCAAAGGAAATAATAATAATAATAATGATAATAATAATAATAATAATATTAATAATATATATGTGTGTGTGTGTGTGTTTGTGTATTTATATATTTTTCAATAGAAATACATTTTGTAGTGATATGTAAATGACAGCCTAATTAGCATAGCTAAGGCATAGGCACGATACAAATGCCCAAGCAGTAAGCAGAGGAGCAGAATATGATATATATATCTTGCATGTTTCCATTTATTATACCTCATTTACCATCTCTCAGTTGTGTCTGTCTTCAGGCAAAGTACAACCAAAATAATTATGAGGTACTAAGTACTGGGGAACAGCTGCCTGTGGAATTACATCCCTCATTGCACTAAAGAGAGAGTAACACTGATGCAAGAACAACCGGCGCTTGCTATTAAACTGACTTTCTGTTGCATCCTGCCCGTGTGGGGCAGCAAGTAAATAGCAAATACGATATGCTGAACGGAGAAAATACAAAGGAAATTGCATTTCAGAACTGATTGCTGACGTTTCACAAATATTGACATTATTAGAAATCATTATTTTAGAACTTATTATTAAACAAAAAAATTCTTTACTATTTTCTTTTTAGGTGGTTGTTTCCCTAAAAAAATACCAACTATAACCACCAGAAAATGATGATTAAACAATATCAACTGTTCATATTAAATGAATTCAGATTAGGCTACAATGCCACAATGAAACATAAGCCTGGCATTTGGTAACACTATTGTTAATGTCAGTACTATACAGAGATTGTTTCAGAAATATAATTCAAGAAAGGGTAGCCTTGTAAATGAAGCAAAGAAGAAAACATAATTCCGTCATACAAATTGATCAACTGTATAGTAAAAATGGAAACAGTCTAAATCTCCATGTACCTATAGATGCAGCCTCCTCTCAAGAAATCATTCTTGGTCAGCAAAGTCAGTTGCTTTTATAGCAGTTTGTTGAACCCTTTATGAGTTTTCTATTTTGTGGAGCATGGAAATAGACTAGCATATTGTAGTAATATATCTATAGTAATTTGTTTTACATTCTTCACTGCCACGTCCTTGCCCTTGAACCTCACAGCTGGCCCGTTGAAACATATTCCTTGCTGATTGTAATCCTCCCCCACACCCACAATCTGCTGGCTTTTATGTCTGCCTCAGTCAGTTATGTAGATCATGTTTGGTTAACATCACCTAATTTACATGAGCTTGCTGACCTCATTCAGTAGTGAGGTATTTTTGGGTCTTTCTTCTTTTTTTTTTCCTGCAAAATCAGCATGCGACATTTGGCCTTTGGAGTATGTCACCTTTTTCTTCTTTACATCAACTGAACACATTGATTAGACAAACTCACAAAACAGAAAAATTGAAAAAACAATAAAAAAATACCAACCTTGACCTAATATCATTCTCCTAAAAGTAGAAGTTCTGTTTAACATCACAGAATTTTGCTGAAAACCTTTAATGAGAAATAATGATAATTATTATAATAATAATATATGTCTATCAATGAAAATATATTAAACAATGTACTAAACTTAGCAAAACAGTATGTGACTATCCCCAATGAAGATATAAATATAATAAAACAATGCTGAAAATCTATATTATACTACAATGAAAAAAAATATGGACCAAAAAGGCCAAAACAATAATAATTTTGACATGACAATGCATAGGTATGATGGTGTCAAAGTATGCAAGCTAATAGGCACATACATAATCAACAAATTACCCAATATAATTAACAAAAAAGATATGGGTCTATACAAGGATGATGGTCTATTAAATCTAAGAAATTGCAATGGCATGGTTAGAGACATAATAAGAAAAGAAATAATAAAAACCTTCAAAATTCAATTAAAAATATAGAGATATCACAAAACTTGTGCTCAATGAGGTGGGGAAGTCAGGTAATGGATGGTGTTTGTTATATATCCTAGAGTTAGAGGTAAAGTTCATAGCAAAGAGCTTAGCCTTATCTGACGAGAATGAGATAACTTCAGAGTCATCTATAATGAAGGGCAAGTTTGCCTCTATTAAGTATTGCATTTGCAATTTTGCAGAACTTGAGGAATCCAAGGTTTTTGTTCCCTACTTTAACTTGGAATGCCTGCATATAGCTGGTCTTTGCATTTTTCAGGACATTCCTGTAATGACTGCATGCAGTTCTGAATGAGGCAAAGGTTCTGCTACACTGTTTCCTCTGATAGAGATGATAGTAGTGGTTATGGTGGATTATGGCTGCAGCAAATTCAGGCATGAACTAGGGTTGGCTCTTTTGCTTTTGCTGGTATTTTTGTGAGGGAATCCACTCAGAAATGAGGGAGGCCATCCTGGAAGGTCCGCTCTTGAGGAAAGCCGAGAAAGATGCTTTTGCAATGTAAGATCTGAAGTTGTCCCAATCGGTTTTATATCAATAGATTGTTGTAGTTTTGTTCTATTTCATTAGTGAAATTGATTGTGTGTTCTATCATGTTTAGTTTATTGACATTCTGGTAGTGGCATGTTATGTGAGTGTAATAATTGAGCATCGTCAGATCAGGACACCTCTTTTTCAGCGTATTCTCCCCAAACACACAACATATTTCTGATATAGTCACGATGCTTGTGGAGTGAGTAACTATGGGCAAATGCAAGATAAATAACAGAAACTGTCCAACAAACGGAATTAACAGAAGTTTGCAAAGAAAAAGGAACAGAGCAAGATAAAATAATATCAAGCAAACAACATATGCAAAGCAAATTAACTTTAATAAGGCAAATTAACAGTAATAAGGCAAATTAACGGTAATAAGGCAAATTAACGGTAATAAGGCAAATTAACAGTAATAAGGCAAATTAACTTTAATAAGGCAAATTAACAGTAATAAGGCAAATTAACTTTAATAAAGGCAAATCCTGGTAATAAGGCAAATTAACTTTAATAAGGCAAATTAACAGTAATAAGGCAAATTAACAGTAATAAGGCAAATTAACAGTAATAAGGCAAATTAACAGTAATAAGGCAAATTAACAGTAATAAGGCAAATTAACGGTAATAAGGCAAACTAACAGTAATAAGGCAAATTAACTTTAATAAGGCAAATTAACAGTAATAAGGCAAATTAACTTTAATAAGGCAAATTAACAGTAATAAGGCAAATTAACTTTAATAAGGCAAATTAACAGTAATAAGGCAAATTAACAGTAATAAGGCAAATTAACAGTAATAAGGCAAATTAACGGTAATAAGGCAAATTAACAGTAATAAGGCAAAAGTTCACAAACTAAGAATTGGCATCAACACTCAAAAGCAAGTTTAGACAAGCAAACATAGCATTCTGACTTCAAGACATGGCAGATTGGGACTGAGTTAGATCAAACTGCAAAGCAGCCTATTTTATTGGCTAAGAAAAAATCCCAGCATGCATTTGTGTGCTTTTGCCTACAAAAGGAGAGGAGCAAGTATTCTGCAATCTTTCCCATATAAGAAACCAACAATACCCTATTAATACATCCACATGACGCATCACTACCACAACTTATCAATAAACTAAACAGAACAGAAATAGCATATATGAAGGCCTTGGAAATCTTTGGTTTTTCCTCAATCTTTACAAAGATCAGTGAATGGTATGAGATGTCCAACAGAGGTAACACCTCTGTGGAACATTGATCAGGACACGGGGTGAGAAATAAGACCAATGGATTAGCAATGGGTTAGCCCAGCTGCTGTTAAAAATGGAATATAATGAAAACATTAGTTTAGAAGACAAAATGTAATATTAACAAAAGAATATATGAATGTTGAACTTACCAAACTGATTACATTTTTGGATAGATGTCATAAAGTTATGTACAATCTCCTTTGAAAATAAATAAAATATTATTTCAATTAGAGTGAAAAATATGATTTAAATATTTGTATCTCTGGTTGTAGTTTGAAATATTTATTATGCTTGATTGAAACAATATACATACATAAACATATACACACATATACCATATATACTTGTGTATCATGTGACTTTTGAAGACCCTAATTTTGAAGCTAATTTTAAGGGGTCACATTATACATGAGATACAAAATTAGCATAAAAGTTTCTGGCCCTGGCTATGCTTTTGACCAAACTATATATCCATTTACTCTAGTCAAAAAAAGTACAGCTGTATTTAAAATAAACAGTGAGTGTTACATGAGTATATATGTATATATATATATATATATATATATATATATATATATATATATATATATATATATATATGGATCTTAGGAAAGCAATTTTATTAAAACATTGCAGGGTAGCATAAAAAAAGCATGTATAAAGGTGATTGAAGAAGGAGAGAAAGATGGTGATGCTAAATTGAATATCTGTCTATATTTCTGAGATGAGGTATTATGTACACTATTTACATTATTCAGCCTTCTGTCCTCATCTTTGTTGCCATATTTATTACAACGTTTCGGCCTTTCAGTATCTGTCTATATTTCTGAGATGAGGTATTATGTACACTATTTACATTATTCAGACTTTTGCCCTCATCTTTGTCGCCATATTTATTACAACATTTCGGCCCTTCAGTATCTGTCTATATTTCTGAGATGAGGTATTATGTACACTATTTACATTATTCAGACTTTTGTCCTCATAAACCCCGCCATATTTATTAAAAACAACAGGAGGCCCTTCAGTATCTGTCTATATTTCTGAGATGAGAATTCCGATTACACTATTTACATTATTCAGACTTTTTGTCCTCATCTTTGTTGCCATATTTATTACAATGTTTTGGCCAGGAAGTTTCAGTCTATATTTCTGAGATGAGTATATATGTACACTATTTACATTATTGGATTATTGTCTCATCTTTGTCACCATATTTATTACAAATAAATATGAATGAAATAAAAGATGAGGACAATAATCCGAATAATGTAAATAGTGTAAATAAATATAATATATAATTTAGGAAAGAAGGAAAGAAGCAAAGATTAAAAATCAGCTTGGAAAATAAAAGTAAATTTCAAAATTCTTCATTGGAACTGTAAGGATTTGAAACTGAGAATCCTAAGTAAGAGGGTTAAAAAGAGTGATACACAAATTCCTGTATGAGTTATATCACTTGGGGCTAAACTGAAATTCCAAAAGAGGGATTTTACCTCATTTTTACTGACCTAAATCATACTATTCTCCAATTCATACATAATTCTAGGGGACAGATAAAGGAGTTTATCTGGTCTTGTACATGTCGTCAATTCTGCTCATGCAGGTTTAGTTTGTTTTGTTTTACGGCATATCAACCTCAATGGGTCATTTAATACCAACAACTTTTTTTTTCCTGGTAATATTTTGATTTGTCAAAAATCTATTTCTGGTAATATTTTTTTCCTCAAAAATGTATAGCTGGTAATATTATTTTAAAAAATGTATTGCTGGTAATAGTTTTTTTTACTTCAAAAATTTATTTCTGATAATTTTTTACAATGTTTTTCTGGTATTAAAACTTATTTTTACACTTTCATAATGCTTTTTAACTCAGTTTTGGAGTTAACTATTTGCCCATAGCTGGGACCCTAACAGGTGCTACCACCCCCCGGGTCAGGATGGACCTGGGAACAGCAGCAATTAAGAGGTGGTTCCACGTTCCTCAAAGCCTTCTGATCAGAGGCCTTGCTGTGGGACGTAGTTAATCATCTTACTCTGGATGCGGATGTAGTTTATCGTCATACCCAGGATGGTCTGATCATGCAGGACACACAAGCTGAATCCTCCACAAATATGAGTCACTAGAATGTGTATTGAGTTCAACTCAGTTCAAGATGCGAGCTGTGTCAATTAGCTTATCATATGAAGAACACCTGAATCATAATTTTGCTTCCACAAATTTCCTAGCAGTGGATAACTGAATGGAAGAAAAACAAGAACCAACACCATTTTTCTTTAGCTTTCCATACCTAGTGCCTATGTTGAAATGTCATATTTTGATCAGACAATTTTCATTGTACCTTTTAATAAATCTTTATTATTGAAGAGAATTCTGCTTGTTGAGCTGTCTATTCCAAATGAGGTCATTACTCAACCAGCATCCAGAGAAAAAGAACACAATGGCTTGGCAAAAACGGAAGAAAATAAATAATTTTTTTCTTTTCTTGCTGGGAATCACAATGTAGTCCACTAGATAATACAACCAAGTTTGAATAGCACCTCAGCTTACAGGAACACACCCAGGAAAGTTATCATGGGAATGGATGTATGTTCATATATATATATATATATATATATATATATGACAAATAAAAAATTAACAACAAATAAAATTAAATGTTCAACTTATTTTACCAATTCAAAATTTTGTTTTATAGATAATTTGAACATTTATTTTTTGGTAATGTATATATATATATATATATATATATATACAGACTTATATAGACTTTTTGCTAATGTATATATATATAGACTCATTATATCTATCTATAGATAGATATAAATAGATTGAGATAAATAAAGATAGATAGATAGATAGATAGATAGATAGATAGATAGATTATGAATAGACCGAGATAGATAGATTATGAATAGACCGAGATAGATAGATTATGAATAGACCGAGATAGATAGATTATGAATATACTGAGATGGATGGATGGATGGATGGATGAATGGATAGATAAATAGATAGGTAGATAGATAGATATGAACTGTGAGAGATATTAATAGACTGAGAAAGATAGATAGATAAATAGATAGATATTAACATACTGAAATTGATAGATAGAAAGATAGAGAGAGAGAGAGATACTAAGTTTAGCTTTCCATGAGAGAAGTTTGTATTATATTTACCAAAACCCTCTCTAGTTAGCCACTTAATAAAGACAGGGCTCATATCAAAGTTATATATATATATATATATATATATATATATATATATATATATAACCAATTAATATACAAGCATAAAAAATTACTTAAAATTGAACAACACAATCATTATGATCGCAAGTTAAATGTGGGAAACACCGATAATAAAATAAAAGTGAATATAATTTAGTCAGCCTTGAAAGTGGTTATGCTCCATGAGTTTGACAATTTCTATACAACAAGTCTATTTTGGTTTATCTCTTCTTCTTACTAAACTGAGACTGAAACAACGTCATATATGTAATTATTTATATTATTTACGTTGTTCAGACTGTTGTACTCATCTTCATTGCCATTTCAGCCATTGTACACTATGGTCTTCTTCAGGTGATTGGAATATTGAACTGAACTCTTTATTTTGTAAACTGGGGTAGATTGTTCTAGTTCCACATGCCATGCATCTTCAGGATGTCTCAGTATCAGTTATCTCCAAGTTTTTGTTCACCTCTTCTGTAGTCAGGTATTGAACTCACAACTGTTTGGGTCAAATCACTGGATTCAACTATCTACTGGGCCATGTATCCTTGAGGAAATGTTGTGAATATGGCAACAAAAATGAAGACAACAGCCTGAAGAATCTAAATAGTATAAATAATTACAATACCTCTTCTCAGAAATATAGACAGTGGTATACGTAAACCTAAATAAACATAATAATAATAATAAATAAAAATAAAAACTGAGTAAAAATCAGACTTCAGATACCTAACTTGAATCATGTTTTGTCTTGCAAGTTCCTTGTGAAATAAAATTCCTTTTCTAATGAAACAAGTCCTTCCATAGATGAAATTTGTCAAAGTAGAAATTTCCCAATTATCTTTTATATTTACCTCATATGGTGGAATAATAAATCTGTCAGCGGTGAATGGTCCCTTTTGTTTTACACATATGCACGCTATCAGGGGCCGTTGTGGAGAAAATCAGGTAAGGGAAAGACATATTTCATTTGTGCTTTCTTAAGTGTAATACTAGCCCAGCTTTGCTGTGGGCGACAAAGCCACACTGACAGATGAAATTTGTTAAAGCAGGATTTTGATGGTATCTCTGCTTCAGAGCTTGACAAAGCTGATCATGGTGTTTCAGTCTACTGTCTTCAAAACCCTTTAACTTAATGAAACATGTCTTACACTACTCCTTTCAGTTTCATGCTTGGGCTTCCCAGGTTTTCAGATCAAAATTGAGACGTTTCATGTTGTCTTTCAATTTGTCTTTGTAACGTAAGAGTGGATGTCCAACTGAACACTTGGAGTTTAGTAGTTGTCCATACAGCACCTTTTTGGAAAGACTATGATCATCCATTCTCACAACATGACCAGCCCACCTAAGATGTATCTTTGTTAGAATGGTTTCAATGCCTGTGATGTTATATTTCTTCAGTATTACACTATTCTTGACCCTGTCATCTCATTTTATATCACATATGGCACAAAGATAGCACATGTGAAAGGTGTCAAGTTGATTTATGTACTTGCTGTATAGGGTCCAACTTTCAGCAACATAGGGCTGAGAGAATGACTGATCTGTATATGTTGATCTTTACTCTGAGAGACACGTCTTTGGTGTTCCATAACCTATGTTTAAGATTACCAAATGCTGTGCTGGCTTTGGCTATTCTGGATTGGATTTCTCTGTTCATTTTTCCATCAGAATAGGCTGTTGATCCAAGATATGTGAACACCCCAACAGTTTTTAATGTTGTACCATCAATGAATATGTAAGGATTTGTGAAAGATGGATTGCCTGGTACTGGCTTTACATTAGCTTTTTTTTCTTTTTATTTTGATAGTGAGTCAAAATGCTTTTGCTGTTTCAGAGAATTTATCAAGGATAGTTTGAATGTTTTCTGCCTAATAGCACTTAGCAGCATCATCTGCAAAGAAAAGATTTTATTTTTACTTTGCAGACCAGTTGGAATAATCTTTTTTAAAACGTTGCTGAAT